GAAGGGTAGTTATGGAGGGGGTTCTTGGGAAAGGTGAATAGGGAAACTCTGTTATTATAATTAATGATCGTATACGCTGTAGGTGTAATCTAATACGTAATTATGCTTGTGTGCAACCCGAAAACCCGAATGTAATCATCATTGGAGTTTCACCACCCGTTTTTGCGTGAAGTGGCGTCGTGAAACTCGGTGAAAAACCCGATATTCGCGGTGATATGCAGTAGTCGTGAAATGTGTCTTTTACTAATGTTTTTCATATCACTAGGGTGGTGAAACTCCACTGTATTTAGTGTGTATACTATATAGTACGCGCGATCTAAAGAATCCGTTTCGTGTCACCTTTTCACCTAGAGTACTAATGGAGTCGAAATTTTGTGTGAAGGCTCTCCTAACACTATTTTATTGTATGAATATGGGCTCAGTACGCACCATCTAGAGCGCGAAAATATGTGGGTTCGAGAAGTTTTCTCGACTGAAAGCTTTTGAAGTTCTGAATGTAAGGCCACCTGATGTAGTTATATTATATGGAACTTGTCCGCAATCGATTTTCGGAAGAAAAGTCGCTGCATTTTTGTCCGACTGTCTGGTGCCGTCCGTAATATGGAAGGGGGTCTGATATGGTGTTTGTCGAGAGATATGCATCCATAGTGGTATAGGAAGAATTAGGTTGACCTCATTCGTGGGGAGGTTGCTGGGCAGGAAAAGTATCTTTTTGCATCAGATGTATGGTTGGGGTCTGACGATCTGTTGGGTAAGGAAGTGATGTTGGAGGACGGCACGGAGGGAAAAATTACGTCCAAGGAGAAAATGAAGGATGGAAGCGATCCCAAGCATATCTATCACCGGTGAGTTTTGATGCTCTCTGAGGGCGGAGGGACCTGTCATTCGTCACTTTGGAATTTTTTTCGGGTGAATTGTTTTGAATTTGGAGAAGACCGATGCTATCACCTCTTCCGAAAGTAGCCATTCCGAGTCTCAGCCGTCTCCTCGGAACCCCGTTGCTCTTACTAGACGAACGAATACTCAAACTGTATGAATCGAACCATCGTCAAGTGAGCATTAGTTTTGTCGTAAATTTTGGTCCAAATGTTTTTGTGTAAATTATAGTAAATTTCTGTTTTTGTCGGAAAGCACTGATTTGATAACCGTTGGTTCATCGCCGTCTGTTGTTGATGATCCTTTGTAATGAAGAGTATTAATCACCACAAGTAACACTGAGTCGCCTGGAGTGGTCTCAATACCGCAGAGTAGCGCTAGCTCATGCTGAGACAGTAGCTACATGAATACAGAAGACATTAAGCCAATCTCATTACACTCTTCCTCCTCATTAGATGGTTCTACGTCATTACTATACCTCCATCGGGTCCGCTAGCAGCAACAGCTGAGCCCGCACCGAAGAGGCGAAGGACGACTTCTGGACGCCCGAGTTCGGCAGCCTCTTCGGTATCGAGCTCGGGAGAAGGAGGGAGCCACAAAGGTTCGATAAGGTGGGTAGCAGGTGTTGGTAGCGCGCGCCCAGATGATCGATTTGTTGATGTTGTTAGGGTTCTGCGGGCGGAGGAAGCGAAGAAGGCGGTAGAGAGGAAGAAATAGAAGATTATTGGCATTGGTTGCATAAACGTCGCGCACGCGGAAAATATAATTTCCATCAGAATGGTTCCATTATGAAGCTTCGTAGAGGAAAATAGAGGTTGTACATCTTGTTGTTGTTGGTCAATGGTTGGGTATGGGAGGCGGTGGTGGGATATCTGGGGAGGAGGGAGCTGCTTTTGGGAGCTTGCCTATGCCTAAACCTTTTTTGTGTGGTCGATCTCGTCGAACGTGTATAATTTAGTTTCCCCTCGAAAAATTTGATGCAAAGTATGATGTATGATGATAGTAGTAGTAATAGTATGATGGCGAATGATTACCTATAGTTTTGCCATTGCCGTCAATGACATTCCATACCGCATGATGGGAGGTGTTGGAGAGCTTGAAGGTTCTGGGGTGAGGGCTTTGGGAGGAGAGGCTTTCGGGGATGCTTTTGATGTTAGGAGAATGGTGGAGGAGGAGGACTGACGTCACCAACGTGTAGGCAGGCGAGCATTGTTGTTAATGCGAACGGTAATGGCGAGTAGCGCGCGCCCTGGTGATCGATTTTGTGAATTGGAAGTTGTAGGAGAGTTGTGGGGGGTATGAGGACTACGAGTTGGGAGATTTCTGGATTCCTGAGGAGACGGGGAAGGGGTAGAAGTTTGAAGCTGCCGGGTGGTGATGATGATTGGGAGGAAAGGAAGAGGTAATTATTAAGTTTGTGAAATTTCCTTACATCTGCCTTTTCTAGATTGATATTGCTCTTAAAAAATATTGATTTTTTTTCGTGAGCATGAAAATTTTTGTAATAACGGCTGACTAACTTCTTCGGATAAAATGGCGATGATGATTTGCAATTAGACGATTTGCATTCTTTGGATGCTATGTTGAATTTAGTGTGAATACGAATAAGTTAATTTTTCGAGTTTAACAAAAAATTAACAAAGTTATTTGACGTTATCACAAATCATGTATAAGTCGTAATACAGCCAATTCGAGTATCACCAAATGTTGATAATGATCCGACCTGGACGAAAGAAATTTCTTAGGAGCCTCTCCTAAATTCAGGTGACTTGATCTTCAGCGAGTATGCCTTGGCATTTCTGAGGAACCCTCCGGAGCTGCTGAGGCGCTTTGTGGTTGTGGTCGGGCTCACAGTACTTGATATTGTGGTTACCAAGGTGGGTTGCTGGAAGTTGGACATTTCGCGCGCCACGAAATTGGCAGGGTGCAATTCCGTCTCTGCCGGGATGGTCGCCGTTGGTGGTGGAGATGAAGCATTTGGAAAAAAGTGATGGAGATGGGTGAGAGAAAAAGGATTTTGGGGAAAATTTGGGAAACTTTTTGGTGTTTTCCCGGAAATTTCCGCGATGGAGAGTTGCTGATGAAAAATTCGTAAGGATGCGGTTCGCTTGATACAGATTATCATCATAGTTTAAGTTTTTCGTAGTGTACTTGTGCTCCCTGTGAAATTTTTGATGGTGCATCTCGAGCTCGATGTGGCGAAGGAGTGGTATCACCGGTGGACTCGATTCGATGTCGTGGTTTTCCCTCAGGTGTAGCATGCCTTGGGAAACTGGAATTCGGGTTTTTATAGAGCCGGTCTTCACATATGGTAGGACTGTTTTAGATCTGTCGGGTTGGTGGTATCCTCCTCGATGGTTTGCGGGAAGAAGTGGAATGTATAGGTGCTTATAGTAGAGCGGGAAGGCTACCGTATGTGTTGGAAAATCTTACTAATATGTTATAATGTACATGATAGTATTTTATGATACTACTATACTACTTGATAAGTGCATATATCTTATAACCTGCTAATCCCTTTCAGCGTTGATGGTGATCAGTCTTGTATAGGGTGTAAATGCATAGTTATTGATATCTCTCTATCATATCAGGTGGCATTGGTGTGATGATGGGGTGTGTCGTTGGGCGAGCGGGTCTACTGTTGATCCTCAGCGACGGCGGGGGGTTGTTGCTTCCGCTGGGGTTGAGCCTCTTACCTGCATTGCTGTGCAATTTGGCTGCTCTGACGCTCTTTGGAAGGGAGCCTTGGTAGGAGGGAAGATGTATTCTTGGGATTGATTGAACCGGGGATCTCGGGGATGATAGTATGGGTTTTAGTCCACTCGCCCATACGAGCTTCTTATCGTCATTGTTCGGCGTTGGGGTGCAGAGGACATTGGGAGCGTTGGTATATCGAAGACCGAAGGAAGGGTATCGACTAATTGGGGTAGGCGGAGCGGAGCTCGCGTTAATTGACATTTTCTATGTTTTAGGTCATTTCACAATTGATTGTTTTAGGGGTGTTGTTGGCATGCATCACCATTGTCGTCGTTGGGTTGTTGGTTGTGGATGGAACTGCGATTTCCTCAGTACCTGTGAAAGCGATTCTAGCGGCCATCGTATTTGGTGAGTACGAAGGCGCATTCGACTGTTTTTTATAGAGAGAGCAAAGTTTTCTCTGCGACGCATTCGGGAATGTCTCCGGGGTCTAGGCGGGTGTGATCGGCCAGGAATGATGATAGTTATAGCCACCATAACTCATCGCATGGTACATCTGAGTGGTTAGGAACGCTAAGAATTATGATCATCTTACTTGACCAGTCCCTGTGGTTGTAGTGATAGTCGTAGCAGTTTATGGAGGCCCCCAAGTTTGGGGATTGTCCTCTTATACTCTATCATATAATCTAAGCATTGGGTTGGTATAGGGGAATCCATCCTCTATGTGATTGGAGTCTCACTCGTGATATGAACAACACTAGTGAAAAACATACGCCACTTGACGTTAAACCGGGGGAAAATCTACCATAGATTTGACATATAGATTTGTTATAGAGCATTTCATTCCCTTTATAGGGTCATCCTGTGGAGCAGCTTTTTTGCGGTTGCCCAAGAAGGCGACGTTTGCATCTTCTGGAAGGCTTTCGCCACGAAAGAGAGAACAGGAGAAGGAGAAGAGAAAAATAGCGAGAAAAAGACTGGTAGGTGGGGGGTATTGGAAAATGTCATTTTTTCCGTGATGGGGGACCTCAGATACGACTTCGATATGTGCGAGCATGGGCATGTACGTGGTTGTTTTTGGTAGGTGTGGTATTGTTGTTGATGTTCTTTAAACTATTCGAGCCACCATGTGATTGGATGTGACAAGTCGTGGATGAGGCAATTGATGCTGAGTATAGTAGAGCCTCAATTGGAGAGGGGGAGCTGGATCAAATTGGGAGTAAAATTTCTTGGTGGCTTCCACAGTTGAGGGTTTTAGGCTCAGCGGGCAAGTGGGTTGCGGGCGAAGAGATGACTGCCGCTCTCTGGCCAGGCGTAGTTTTAATCGTTGTTCGGACGGAGCTGTCGCCTTCTTATTATTG